AGCCAATCAGAGGCAACCAGCCAATCAGAGGTAGCCAACCAATCAGACGCAACCAATCAGATGTTGCCAGTCAGAGGTAGCCAATCACAGGCAACCAGCCAATCAGAGGTAGCCAACCAATCAGAGGCAGCCAATCAGATGTTACCAGTTAGATGCAGCCAACCAATTAGACGTGGCCAGTCAGAGACACCCAGTCAGAGACAGCCAGCCAGTAAGAGACAGCCAACCAATCAGAGGCAGCCAATCAGAGGCCGCCTCCCCCCCCTCCCTCCTGATTGGTCGGCTGGTGGTGCCTCACCCTCTTGGCGGCGCATCTGAACCCGCTGCTGTTGTCCTGGGCGCAGAACACGTCTCCGTAGGCCCCGTTCTGGATGTGGTGCAGCAGCCGGTACTCCCGGCCCTCCCTGTAGAGGGCGCCGCGGGGCCGCAGCAGCTGGGAACACAACCACAGAAGAAGAATCAGAAGTGCTGGAAACACAACCACAGAAGAAGAATCAGAAGTAAATATACTGCAGACAAGCTGCAATTAAACTGTTAACAGTTTGCAATCAGTAAGCTAATAGATCAACCTTACCATTATACAACCATTAGGTAACTGGTAGCTAGGCATGCTTTAGCTAACTGGTAGCTAACGAAGATTTAGCTAAATGGAAACTAAGCACGCTCTAGCTAACTGGAAGCTAACGGCCCTTCAGCTAACTGGAAACTGGCCACACTTTAGCTAAATGGAAACTAAGCGCGCTTTAGTTAACTGGTAGCTAACGAAGATTTAGCTAAATGGAAACTAAGCACGCTCTAGCTAACTGGAAGTTAACGGCCCTTCATCTAACTGGAAACTAACCACACTTTAGCTAACCTAACTGGTAGCTAACCACGCTTTAGCTAACTGGTAGCTAACAAAGATTTAGCTAAATGGAAACTAAGCACACTCTTGCTGACTCGAATCTAAAGGCACTTCAGCTAACCAGAAACTAACCAAATGTTAGTTTACTGGAAGCTAACGGCCCTTCAGCTAACCGGAAACTAGCCACACTTTAGCTAAAAAAAAAGCTAAAAGCCCTTCAGCTTACTGGAAACTGCCCAAGTTTTAGCTTACAAGAAGCTAAAATTGTAAATATCGGCTTCTAGACAGAGTATGTAGTAACAAATTGACCCTCTAGGGGGCAGTGCCACTTTTGATGGGAGATGAGCATAGACTGTAGGCAAATAAGAAAAAGGTAACGGTTCGCTATGAGAGAACATGTCGCCGGTGAGACGCAAGTCCAGGAAGAACGGAATAAGGTAGAAACAACCATTTTTTCCTGATGAAAGAAGAGAGTCTACTCTTTCTTTTGGTGTGTTCGGTGTTTACATAGTCATAGCACAAACTATTGTGTGGCTTTTTAAAAATCAGTCAAAACGCTCAAAAAACTCTGGCAGTATGGGACTCTGTTCTGAAAATGGCTGCCAGTCAATGAGTTAATGGCCCTCTTTGCTCAGAGAGGGCAGGAGATGTGAAAAAAAGAGCTCAAAATAAAAAATCTAGTGTCCATTAATGAATTTAAAGCAACCATGAAGAGTGTAGTGATGGAGATATGTGCTTGTTTTTCTTGAGATGCTCAATGTGTTTTGACATATTGCTCTGATTTTACTATGTAAAATGTAATATGTATGAATTTCTTGTGGTTTGGCTGCTACCTTGGCCAGGTCTCTCTTGAAAAAGAGATTCCGAATCTCAATGGGACTTCCTGGTTAAATAAAGGTTAAATAAAAATAAATAAATAAATGTAAAAAATGTGGGGAATCCTCACGTGGTGGAACAGGAGTCCCTCATTGGCCGACACCGTGGTCCTCCAGTCCCTGAGGCTCCGCTCCGTTGGGTCCTGGGACGAGTCCGACTCCCAGTCCGAGTCCGAGTCCAGGAACTGTGGGGGGGGGCGGGATGATCGACGAGGTCCTCAGCCAGTCCACCTCCTGCACCCACAGGCCCCGGATCACGGGGGCCTCCCCCCCCCCCCCCGGCCCCCCCCCCCGCCGAGGCCTCCTCTGGGGGGGGCGGGAGGCTCCGTCTGGACCCTCGTCCTCTGAGTCGCTCAGCAGGATTCTAGAGATTTCGTAAGAGACTGTGTGAACTGTAGTGTATGTTTGTGTGTAATCTATCTATCTATCTATCTATCTATCTATCTATCTATCTATCTATCTATCTATCTATCTATCTATCTATCTATCTATCTA